AATTACTCGATCATCAGAACCATTACTCCTTGTAAGTGATGTATTGCTATATTAGGTAACGTTATTTGCAACTTACCGATAATCGTGAATGAATGCCGGTCCTCCACCGTGTTTTCCAGACACTTTCTGTCGCCTACAACCACATTGTGGAATCACCTTCCAGCAATTTATTTTATTGATTTATTTAATTCGAATTACATGCATATTGTGTTAGTAAATGACTAATAAACTATGTTAGTAAATTATAATATACTAGCTACTCGCCCCGACTTTGCCCAGGTGTACAGGTATTATATATATAAACCTTCCTCTAGAATCACTCTATGTATTATAAAAAACCGCTTCAAAATCCGTTGCGTAGTTTTAAAGATTTAAGCATACATTGGGACTGACAGCGACAGCGACTTTATTTTATACTATGTAATGATAGAGATATGCTCTCAGTTCATATATGTGTCCACGTCCAGACGCACTGGGTCTGCAGCAGTGCAAAGATATCCAGTGCCTCTGAAGCGGACAATCTGACATATTTCCAATAGTTGTTACGAGGCTGTTAACATTCCCTCGAATTCTAAACATCAGTGATGCAGCTCTTCTCCGCATAATGGTTTGAAAACCGTGCTGCTGCAAACAATAGTACCTATTTCCGAACCGATACACTATTAAAACGTTCGAGAAAAGAGCCTATAACTTCTTAAAGGCCGGTAACACACTTGCAATTCCCCTGATGTTGCGGGTGCTCATGGACAGCGGTAATCACTTACCATCAGGTGAGCCCTTTAAGTCCCAGATTAGTCATTCGCCTATGCTATAAAAAAGCCTATATGATACTATAAATGTTATCATCTATACGGACGTACGCTTTTTTCTTATAAAATTTTGTTTAAATTTCATTACAAGGGGACTGAAAAAATCGTCTGCACGGATATCCTAGTCTCACATATTTCAGCAGTAGATTATTTTGTTAGCTGTTGTTTCTGTTGTAGGGTGCGATTAGGCAGTGAAATTATAGAATTATTCAAGAATTAGTTACTCAACCTGTTGGTTGTGCATTTATTATGTTGACTCTAATTAATGAATATGAATTTATTGTTCTGTAATTGTACATTTTGTTTAGATATAGATACTTCAATTTCTTGACAATCGTTCCTGGTATATATATCCGTATTACAATTATTTTCTGTTTTCTGTTTTTACCTATACACATCTTACTAATATTATAAACGCGAAAATTTTTGAGTATTTTGAAGAAATTTCAAATTAATATATATCAGAATAACATTATATATCAGAATAATATAAAAATTTATTTATATATATAATATATAAAAAATTAATGCGTGTAAAACCGCGGGCACAGCTTAATTAAAAATAAAGTCAAATTTAAAATAAACAAAATCCAAATCAAAACGACGATGTACGACGATGGACGACGACGACGATAATACAAATGATAGCGAACTGACAATATGCACATAAAAATATCGATTTATATGCTAAATAACAATAAAAAAATAAAAAATTAGACAATATATAGTTGGCTTACTATGCTTACATATTGCAATAGTTATCTACCTACATTGTAGTATCTAGGTAACTTTGTTCTATAAAACTAGACGTTTCTATCTAGTTATTAGTAAAAATATCGTTATTTTCTGTCGAGCAATAAACGAGTCCATTACACCCTTTACGCGATGCCTCCTCGAAATCCATTAATCGTATTTTACAGCACAATGCCACTTTAATGCACCTTTCAGCGTGTATTGTTTAAAATCGATACTCAAGAGATTTGTGGCTTGTTAAGTGGTATTGCATTAAACTTCGATTGTACGGAAAACGGTACTTCAGATCGCGACACACTCGGGGGCAACTGTTTTGCATATATTTTTACACTTTTATGCATAATAATGGAATGGTGCACCCGCTGTAGTTCGAAAAAAACGCTCTTGATAAGTCGAAACTACCATTTCAGAATTGAACTTAAAGTCACGAATAACTAAGTAGAATCATTCTTACTTATATATAGGTAATAAATACATACATAATTATATACCTACCGGACAATCTGCCAAAAAAAACGTATTAAAATTTTGAAAAAAGAAAAAACATTTTACTTGCCAAACCTTTTTTCCACTAATGCGCCACCTACTTTTTGTAAAATCTCTCTATCCAACGTTTGTCTTGAAGATATTGCATTAGCGATAAGACTAGCTGTGCCGGTTTCACTCGCGTGAAATTTATAGCCTATATGTTATTTTGATGTATAAGTTATATTACTGTAAAGTTACATCAAAATTGTCTTGTCCCTGACGGGTCTAGGTAGCGAACTCTGAAAAGGGCGAGCACAATAGATCTATGTAGGTCGCAGTGCTACAGGTGCTACACATCTGACAATAGCCCAAACAATCCAATAAAAAAAAAATACATCAAAATCCGGTCAGTAGTTTTTGCGCGAAAGAGTAACAAACATCCATACTCACAAACTTTCGATTTAGCCGCTTATGAATGTCATAAGTAAAATTTGTTTCCCTACCGTACAATTCTGTATCAAGATTCCATTTAGAAGAACTGACAAGAATCTCAACTGAATTTCTGTATTTTTTTAAGTCAGTTTATTGCTTCGTGTACTTTTTTAGGTGTCTGTGTGCGTCATTTCAGTAATATAAATAAAACAAAACATAATATAAAACACTGGCATATATTTCTTATGTTATATAACAAAATGCAGTACAACTTTTGTTTTACATAGATCTATTTATTCGGCTATTAAAGAATCCACGTTTCGTCAATCATACATTATTTGTCAATTCCACAACTTGAAAAACCACAGAACCACCAACTTGAAATTCTCACAGCGCTTTCTAGTTCCGAGCTAATCAGAGCATGTGTACTAGACAACTGATAGAACACAAACTTTTTTTCCAAATAGTTACATAGAAAACACACAGTAAAATCAAACAATCGTACTCATGAATACAAATGTTTTTACGATGCGAGAATCGAACCTGCGACCATCGGAAGTAAAGCGCTATAATGTGCTAAACCGCTAGACCACCGAGGCCGTCATGTTTGGATTTACTTCAAATTGTTTTGGAATATTGACATATAATGCAAACTTGGCAATTAAATGTGAATCCTTATTAAGTATAACTTAACAACAAAATTATAGGCACAATCTACGCGTATGTATGTACTTATACTTAGGTTCGGCCGCTCAGAGTTTGCGTTTCTGACAGGTCGGATTGAATGGGCGATGTAACTTTGAACTGACGTACGTATATAGTTTTTAAAAGTCAAACTACATCAAACTGCGCTGTTGGTCACATCACTACAAAAACAGTTGACATAACCTTTAAACAGCGCAGTTTGATGTGATTTGATTTTTAAAAACTATTGTTTTTAGTATTTACAATAGATTAAAATTAATTCGTTTATTGTAAGTTGGAATAATTATTAAATTTTTCATGTTATCACTCATTTAAAAAAAGAAAATAAGAGATATTTTATATTTTGCCGTAAATTGTACGACAGTTCAAAGTTATATCGCCCATGCGATCCTGACCTGACCGAAACGCAAACTCTGAATGACCTTACTGTAATATTACTTTCCAACAACTATCACAATACAAAAACACAGTATAAATGTGTTATTTCATACTAGCTAACCCGCACAACTTTGTCTGCTTCACACTTTGACATTTATAATTATATTTCGCCCAATTTACATAATACCTTTTTAAATTGTTTTAATAGCATATGTTATTTTGATGTATAAGCTATATTACTGTAAAGTTTCATCAACATTACAATAATCCATACATTCCATTCAACTCTTCAAAATTAATGAATTACATATTTCTTTACAAGTTTATTATTCAGACTAAATTAAGGTGCGGTCCATATTTTATGCAATTATGAATATATATAAAAACGCATCCATGTTTTGAGAGCTTGTAACTATATACATGTATATCGACATATATATGTATTATATATCTTATATTAAACACAACCTATACTTATTGTTTACTAACCAATAAGTGCACAGTTAAACGAGTGTTTATTTTAAACTGTACATTAAAAATAATACTTAAAACTACACTTATTCAGTGTTTGTTGTAAATGGTATACTAAACCGAATGTCAGATAGGATACTTGCAAAAGTTTCACAGAAAACAAATATACCATGAAATAAAATCGTAAAATCGTGACGAAGCGAAAATGACTTAAAATGTTTTTTTTTTCTTCAAATTAATGATAATGGAATGCCACACCCGCCTGTGCTAACGGTATATGCTGACGGGCCAAGTGGGGGAAGATAAGATGAGCATGGGGTCAGGTCAGTTAGCCCATTGTGACAAATTCCTCACGACACTCACTTATCATGGTTTCCGAGGGACTCTTTTAATTTCTCGACTTGTTCTATTTTATAACACGCATGTATTATACATATAAATCATTCTACCTATTTCTGAAAACTGCATTAAAATCCGTTGCGTAAATTAAAATATATAAGTGAACAGACAGCGACAGTGACTTTGTTTTATACTATGTACAAATTTTATATACATATAAAATTTGAACATAAATAAAAAATTCTGAAATTTTAAATAGTTCAGTTACATAAACAGTAATTATAACTTGCTTTCGGCTTGGTATACCTTTATAACTAACTAAAATAAGTAATATTAAAAATTTTCATACATTATATGATTTTATATCTTAAAAACAACCGCACCTAATATGGACGCTGTAAAGCTCAATTTGTGACAAATTTATTCTAATATTGCCCATTAATAGTGCTGCAAATACATCTTTATAACAATGCAATACGATCTACATTCGCTTAATATTCAATGCTTTAAGTACCATTCACATATTTAAAATATATAAAAAAATCATAATTAATTAATAAGTCTTAATAACTTCGAAGTCAGTAATTTAAATTATATATTGAACAGTATCACGTGTAAATTTTTAATTCGTGATACTGAAGTACGAATTTATTTTATTTAATTTATTACTGTAACGAAATAGATATTTCTCACAAATTCCTCTTGAAACTGTTGATGATAATAAACCTGTGAATCTAATTATAATATGCCTACCTTCTTGATTCAAATTAGGCTTGATTATATAAAAATTAAAATATATATAGAATTTCATCCAATAAGAAAGAAATATTAATTTCTTATCACAGTATACATAAAAATTATAAAAAACAATTTATAAATATTGCTAATTATAATCAAACCCTTTTAGTTTTATCTTTTATAGCATGGCAAGAATTTTCAATACATAATGTATACATTATTCAAATGGAATATATGTATATACAGATTATATACTGACATTTATTTATTGTATTACAAATGATGGGATTATACATAAATACAATTTGTATATGTACCTTTTCAGCATATCCAAGAGAGAGAGAGAGAGAGAGAGAGATTCATTATTATTATTATCTCTCCTTTTCACAGCTTAAGCTGGTGATTAGTACCGAGGACGGGACATTTTAAGTCTCACGTTAAAAATTAATTTTATCACGCAAAAAAAATTAACAAAGTTTCTCGTTACTTTATTTTGCGTGATGATTTTCATTTTTATTCTGTTGTGGCATTTAGAAAGCGACTGACTATTATTATTATTATTATTGTTGTCTCATTTTCAAAGCTTTTGCTGGTTTTTTTACGCTTCATGGCGTATAAACTACACTTATGAGCCGAAACCAAGTAGGCAGCCTTTCGAAGGGTGATTTTTTTGTAAATTTAATTATTTCAGACTATTATTATTATGTCCAGGGAAAACAGGACGGTCGACAACTCTAAAGTATAAGTATATAGCAAGTCTTACGAGCTAAGTGCGAGGCAATAGTCTGAAAGGGGACGAAGCCCTAGCCTGCCGGCGACGCGGACGTTGTACCCGCTGACAGCTGCGTTCACGTGAGCGTTGTGGAGCTCCGCCACTTGTGTGGAACACGCTGCCGCTGGATCCCCAGACCCGTCTAGGCTTCCTAACCTGTAGACAAACACACATTTTATTATTAGAACCAAGTTTTTGACGAATGTTTGTGAGTATGGATGGATAAGATTAAACTTCGACCATTGGGCGACCACTAGTTTATATTTTAACAGATCAACACGCAAATTTATTGTTAGTTCTTCTTGTGTTCATTCATAATTTAAGAGCTGTGCTCTTGTCGGTGGAGCTCCCGCCACCTTCCACGATCTTCTATCAGTCCCTTTAGCTGTTGATACGACACACAACTTGCTTGATATAGCTGCGTCTTGGTCTTCCCCTACCTCTCTTTCCATCTATTCTTCTTGTGATGAGTCTGTATTCCGAATGAGTGGTGGAATAGATATTTATAATATATATATCTTTATAATTTTAAGTGTAGACTATCAGTGTTACAAATATATTTGTAGCTTTATAATGAGTTAGTTGTAATATAAATAAAAGATATAGAGTTCGTTTTATGTTTTGCAAAGGTAAAATGGATCAAATAGACACCTTTGGCATGTAAAGCCACCTCAATTTCTTTTATTTATACTGTATTTGGTGAACAAAAAAAATATCTCTATATATATTTTTCGCCTTATTATCTCTGATCATCGCGACGATTGACTGGTAGAGAATGCCATCAGGCATTAAGTCTGCCATGTATAGATTTTTATGTGCAAAAGAATAAATAAATAAATATTTCTATAGTACATACCAGAACTCATTCCCAGGATGTGCATTCCCATCCCAAGCGTATGTCATCACCAACAACTTCCCTTCATGTTCACCACTCAACTCAGATGATGGCTCTCTATTCTCCAACTGCACATTGATGCCGCCCCGAGGATGCCGCTTGCACTCGAAGAATATCCGCTTCTCGGTATCCGTATCCGATGTGAAAAGAGCTAAAACACCGCTAGTGGGTCTCACATATGCGAAGTTAACGTCGGATATATGGTTCAACAAATCCTTCTTTAGGAGAGATCGTATCCTTTCCAGGAATGTAAGGATGTATACATCGGCTTGGTGTGATGACACCTTCCATACGCCCAGACCTATAAATGTAATAAACCACTATTAATATTAATTAAGAATACAATATCTGTCATAAAACTTAAAAATTGTCTACATTTGTTTTGGAAGAAATTGAAATAAAAAGATTTGATTGGAAATCAAATAAAGTCTAAAATACTGTACCAGATTAACCCGCAACAAAAAGTAAATAGATATTAAATTTGGTTTCTGTTCAAGCACATTCTTTTATGCGAGATCTTAATTAATTGAATTTGAATTGTTAAATAGAATTCAAATTCAATTAATTAAGATTAACTATTTTTTGTGTTCACTATTTCGTGTATATTCATGTCACTTCATTTTCTTTCAAATTTTACAACACAAAACAGTTATCAAACGGTAAAAACGGATAAAAAACCCCTCATCAATCAATCAATAGCATTATCACGAAACTGTGGGCTTAATCCCCACATGTTTTATTCCACAGATTGTATCTTCCAGACACATTTAAGGCTCATAAATTATCAATAACTCTATAATTATGTCTCCTCCATAGTCAGATATTCGTGGTGTTAGAGCGCCTTTTTTGATAACTATTAATTACCTAAAGGCGTGAAAGCACGCACTGTTGAAGAATGCGTGAACGAGTTCAGTTTCCGCGCGCGGTCTTTCTCGTTCCCTTTGTCTACATTTACATGCATATTCTTTCCTCCGTGAAAGCCGATTCACGTGTGAAGACAGCTAATGTATAATCATAAACGGTGTACTAAGGTTATAGCCAGACAAAATAATCATCCAATTAAACAATTTTCAGTTTCAGTAACTCACCAGCACCAATAATATTCACAAATGCATCCTTCCCAGCTTCACTAGCTCTGTACTCTGCTTCCAACAGTGTGGTCTCTACTAAAACACTAAGTCGTTTGTAGTAAACCTCGTTGTCAAATATAACATTATTGCTGCATTCTTGTGAGGAGCACTTCACATATCTCTCTATGTATCTCTTGTCTTCACTTTTATCTTCTATGTTAACGTAGGACGTCAATTCTTCATATGTGTAGCTATGTACCTGAAAATTAGTATAATAATAATATATCGGGACAATTCAGACAGCGCCATCTAGTACCAAGTTAAGCAGAGATTGCGTTATGAGTACAAATGATATACGTTTACATAGATACGTTTTTTATACATACATACATATATAATATACATAGAAAATACCTAGAGCCTACAAATACAAATAATTATACTTATAAATACAAATGTATATACCGAGATGATCAAACCTAATGCTAATGTTACAAACATTTAGCTACTTATCTGCGAAAGTCGCGTCAAAATCATTTCAGATATTAGTAACAACACAGACATACAGACAAACATTTTAAAAATAATTTTTGATGTAACCACCACATATAATATCATATCCATTCAGTGAAAAGCTGTTAATTTGATATTACAAACAGTTTTTCACTGAATGGATGAAGTTCAATTATATTTTTTTCTAAATATCATTCCTTATACATATACAGTATTGAAACCTACAAGAAAAGAGTCTATTCCTTCTTAAAAGGCCGGTAAAGCACTTGCAATTCCCCTGGTGTTGCGACTAATTATGGGCGGCGGTAATCACTTACCATCAGGTGAGCCGCAAACTCGTTTGTCCATAGTGGATAAACGAGTTAAAAAAAAACAGAATAGAAGCAACAAAAATCAATTGTTTAAGGAAAAAACAAAAGGTCAAGACAAAATCATAAAAAACCAAATATTTTTAATTTAATCTTGCCATTTTCCTTGTTGTCGGTTTTATTTATGGTCAATTTATGGTCGAAATTCATGATAGCTAAATATATGTTTTGTTCTGTCGATTTGGTCATTGTTGAGAAGCAAACAAGTTTCTCAATTGAATCTGTATAAACTGGATGGTAGAGAAAAATATAAATATTAATACATTTACAGCAGAGGTTCCCAAACTTTTTTTGTCATTTACTGTTTTGGGTAGACCCTCCATTCTTACCTGGTATTGATTTCTGTAAATTTCTAACTGTAGTAAAGTTAATGCTAAAAACATAAAGTAAAAACAACAAGTTGACCGCTTTTTGTTTGTGTTTGTCATAGACCCCGGGGGGTCGATATAGACCACTTTGGGGATCACTGATTTACTGTTTATAAGCACTGACAATGTTATATGATTGAACAAAGATTGAGCGCCTAGAGGTTACTATGTCGGCTCTCGCATGCCTAATCCTTGGTAATGTAAATCGACTAAAAACAACATTTATTTAAAAGAGCAACACACAAGTTTCTTTCTCATTCTTCTTGTAATGAGTCTGCGTTCTGAATGAGTGGTACAATTAAAAAAAGTGCTTATATTAGGTTTATTTGAATAAAGATTATTTCTATGTGGCTAAAAAGTCCTAAATGAATAAATTATTTTTGATTTTATTTATTTGTCCCTTATATTTTAAGAAATCATTTACCTGATAGAACTCTGACCAAATCTGTCTCCACATATGCTTAGCCGATTGGTTGTTCCTGACATATGTTGTTTTTAGTACATTGAAACATGTGGTAGGTGTCACTTCTTCACCATATCCATTCTCCCACGTGTTCTGCTGTTCAGTAATGAGGATATCTTCACAATCCATGCGTGCACGTCGTTCGAAACGGGTGCCGATAACTCCTACAATTACATAGAAAGCATTTTTTATGTAAATCAAATGACAAAGGAACTGAACATTTATTCTAAAGAGCAATACGCGTGTTTCTTTCTGGTTTTTCTTGTGATGAGTCTGCGTTCCGAATGAGTGGTAGAATAAAAAAATATGACTATTCAAAAGTGCTTGTATTGTGTTTATTTGAATAGAGATTATTTCTATTTCTATTTATTTTACTGACAGCTTATGTGATGGTAAGCGACAACTTACGCATATGTAAATACTTATACCCGTACCTAAGCTAAACAAAGCTTGTGTTATGAGTACTAGATAACTAATATAAATACATAGTTACGGTATTTTATTACACACATAATATACATAGAAAACACCCAAACCGATACAAACAATCATATTATTAAGTAATACAATTTTTTACCGTGCAAGGAATCGAACCCGCGCCCATAGGAAGTAAAGGTGTGCTAAACAGTAAACAGCAAAACGAGGCATAAAATAAATTGACAGTTTGATTTTGTGTCTACCATATTTGAACTCCTGACCTCTTGGGCGTAATTCGGTGTAATAAACCATGACTCTCAAAATAGTACAAGAAAAATTTATAGAATTTGTTTTACATACCAATAATAACAGCATTCTTCTCTATTCCCTCCTCCATTTCTACCCCGACGTTGTGTCTAGCTCCATTGTTAATGCATTCTGTATGGCCACTCACAAACACCATAGCTGATAGTTTCATCTCATCGTAGCTGAGACAGTTCTCTAGTACTAATGGTGGTTTCTGGTGTACAGTGCCGACCGCCTCCCAGCCGTCAGACCTGAGAAATAAACAATGTCTTGATTCCCAGAGACAAATTTGACATGACCAATGTTGCCAGATTTTTGTAATGTTTTAAATAGGGTTGTGGCATCAATAGAAATTAATAAATTTTTTTTAGAAATAATATAATATCGCATATCAACGCTATTAATAAATATAGCTTTGTTGTGTCAATACAGTTTTTTTTGTATTGACTTCTTGAGAGTTAATTCCGACGTATTGGTCAATAAAAGGTATATAAAATTAAATCACTAAAAGGACTGATAAATGTTTTTCTAATACCATTTATTGGAAAAATAAGCAACATCAGTATGAGAGTAATGACATGATAATCACGATATAGCTTACCCCATCTCGCCGCTGAATAGTTTGTAATGATCATCCTCGCCCATAAAGACCACTGCGCGCTTTTTTAATATCCTATCAATTAAAATTGGTACCGTCACATCCTTGTAAAATGCCTTCTCTATGCTCGTCCCAAATTCCCTGAAATCAGAAATATCATGATTATGTTACATATGCAGTATAGCAGAACGTATATACGACGAAGAATAAATGAGGCCGCAATGTTACAATTTCAAAAGAGTATTTAAGACAGAATTGGATTCGTGTCGTATCAAGGCTTAAAGAATATGATGGAATATCATAGAAAGTGGCAAGAGCTTCACTACACACACATAAGAGCGTTGCTCTTAAGTTTATGAATGAATGAATGAATTTATTTTATACTATGTAGGACCCCTCCGATCGATACCCCGTCCAATTCAAACGGGGATCGAAATTACGACGGCCTGAGCCGAGGTTCGAACACCTAGTAGTGCCCTCAGACTAAAGTCGTATCCGTCAGGCAGGAGTTGGCCTAACTCCTTCGAGTGCCATCTGAGCCCCTAACGTCCGAGGTTCGAGCTGCGGCCAACAGCATTAGACATTGACCCTATCATCCCCATCACTGAACATTGACCCTACGTGTGCTGCCACTGGCAACCGCGACGATGATGGCTTCGTCGTGGTACAAAAGAAGAGGCGCACAAACAAGGTCAATAGGAATCATTGTGGCACTGCACTCACTGGGCCCAACTGCTCCATACCGACCACGACAATGTACCTGTCCCGTCTACATTACGCCACTAAGGAGCAGGACATTGTCGATTATATTAGTACCAAGAGTAACCTGACATTGAGGGTAACGCAGCCGAGTCACAACGCGAGTTTCAACGTTTGTGGCGGTGAACTTGCTGCCGACCTTCATGAAAAAAGGCCGAAAGGTGCGGCCAACAGTGGCAGATTGCCATCTTCAGTGCCGTGATCACACAGACAAAAAAGTTTTTAAATATTATATTATATGTATGTTAGTCTATAAGGTATTTATAATATGGGCCTAGTTGCCTGAAATAAATGAATAAATAAAAAATAAAAAAAAAAATTAGAGTAGTCCGAAAAAAAAAAAACTATTTAGGTGGCATATAAGCAGATGCGACATACATCTGAAAGCAAATGTTAGCTATACATATATGCTCGCCAGCCATATGTAGCTAGGCGAGGTGTCACGTGCGCGTTGCTGTTCTTGGACAGTTAATTAAAGAACTTACACCCAGGTTCAACAACTAGTTCATTCTTTTACCCATTATCAAAACTTCTTTTTGTTCTTTGAGTTTTACTTCTTCATGTTTTATTCTATTAATATAGTTAAACCGGTCTTAACAGGAATAATTATGGTTAATTGGAATCTTGTTAGTTTCTTATTAAATCTGTAAAACGATGACTATGTTGTTGTGGCAATTGTAGTTTGCGTTACTTGTTGAGATACATACGGTCAAACATCGAACGGTATAACACCTATTTTAGTTAATATTTTTTTTTTTATTATTTCATTTATTTTAGATATGTATCCATATTATGTTAGAAAACAACTTATGAATTATGTTAGTAAATTACAATATTACATTTAATTCATATATTTATGTCTGTGTCCACGTCCAGAAGCCCTGGGTCCGTTAAAATGTTTATAGTATTTATCGATCCGATATTATTTACCGATCCCGATCGATTTAAAATTGACAAAGTTTCATAAAAACTTTTATCCCCTTGGAGATAGAATTACTCAAAATCCTTTCTTAGCGGATGCCTATGTCATAACATCTGTGCCTGTGCTTTGATAGATCACTACGTCAGTCACCTTTGAGTTATATATATTCAGATGGCCAGGCCATTGGAAATAAGATAGTATGCTACACAGCTAGACAATCAAGGATGGGTAGTATAAAAATATAGAAACATACCTTTTGTATATAAGAAAGTGTGTCATGAGTAGAAGCACCCTCTCATGTATGACTGGGTATGTGGACACTATATTCTTCTTCAAACTATCCAAAGGCCTCTTCAATTTCAGTTTGTGTAATCTAAAAAAACCCATTATGAATAACTTTGAGAGACCATGATCCGTGTTATGTTAGTGTACACTACACTTATTGCATCATGTTTGTATTATTGAGTCATAAATAAATAGAACTCACTATTTTTCATATCTTTACATAAAATGAAGTTGCTGCTGCTGTCTGTTGGTTTATACCTTTTAAATTATGTAATGCATTTCATGCACTTTTCACCATTAGATAGACTGATTCAAGAGGAAAGTTTATATGTACAATACATGCATGTTATGGTATAGAACAAGTTGAGAAATTAAATTATTTGTAATGCATCCATGTGAAGTCGGGATGGGTTGCTAGTATTACATAAAATAAATCATATTGTGCATACCTGGCAGTGTCAATGGGGAATGGTATCGGAAATTGCTTGCTTTTCTCAATAATTTCATCGACATTGTCAGATAACTCTGGCTTTGGAAGATCAATACACTGTCTCAGTAATTCATTTGTCTCCTTACTCATGCTAGGGAAGCACCAGTCTGGTTTGCACCTGAAAAGTTTTATAATAATAAGAAAATGACTGTAATCTCTTATGAGTCCAACCAAGCTCTGAAGTTAATTATATTGGACATACACCTAGGTGTATTCAATGAATTGGCAGAACTAGCTTCCGATGCAGCCAAGTTATTGTCCTGGCTGGATTCACATTAGTTGTAGAAGTTTCTAGTGTAGGTAAGATAAACAAAACAACATCATTTTTTATGTTCAACATCAAATATAATATAAAAATACATACCATTATTATGTTAGTGTTTATATACACTAACTCTAAGTATTATATTTACTAACTCTGTAAACTATGCTAGTTATTTTAAAATATACTTACCAAGAGAGGTTCTGAAAGGGTCTCAAAACATCCATTTTCACAGTTCTCGCCTGCGAAGTAAACAATAATAATTAATAAATAAGATTGAATCATCAGTGCTAAATATATTAGGTAATAGATTCTCCTGAAGCCTTATTCAATAAGTACAATTAGTGTAGATAATTATAATAATAATTTAATGAAACATGATGCGTAATTGCTAAGTATTATACTTACTATAACCGGCCGATATAACAGTAAAGCGAGAGAAAATGATTTTATACTCATGAAATATATCATATGTCAAAATTATATATCACTTTGCATGTATTTACACGTTAGTCACAATAACTTACAATCAAAGGTACTATGAATACATAAGATTATTATTTTCTATTCATTTTTTTATAAGTTAGCATTCAAATTCCATGAAAAATGATGAATTTGAGAACATCAACTATTGATAACTATTCGAGCTAAGTAATGAATCACATAGATTGAAAGAAACTGAGCTGACTGACGTATTGTACTGAAACAGGAAATATTTTGCATTGACCAAGGAACTTAATACTCTAAAAGCATCGGTAGAAGATTGAGTCAATGTAAGTCCAATTTCGGCCAGTCATTCGATCCAGACTAAAAGAACACAAATAATTAAATAAAATCAAAACTAAAAAATAAACAAAATCAAAACCAGTCCCCTACTATAGGACTAAAAATAAGTTAATGTAATTTTTTTAAGTACATTAAATATTTAAAAAAATATTCACCTTTTGGCAATGGGTTTGTTTTGCCCAATATGCTACTTATTATAATAGACGGGAAACAGAATGTAGAAATAAATAGAAACTAATAGGAATTTAGGAAAGTAAATAATAGTGATTATGAACAACAGATTTATAATATTTTTATTGATAAATGTGCTTAGATTTTAGAATTTAAATTAGTTTTAGGAACCGTCACAAGACGATCCAGTTACCCAGGGTTTGTTGCCCCCGGAATTGATGCAGTGCGAAGGGTCTTGCACCTAGGCTCCAACATTCACCTCCCTAGAGGGGTGCAGAAGACTAGCGTCAGTCTGTGCGATGACCAGTCAGGACCAGTCTTAGTCAGTCAAATCTGATTGACAAATAATTAGTTTGGCATTGACAGTACATATGTTGACGTTCATTCGAGAATAATAACAGTGACATTATATGTAGTCTTACAATTTCACCTTTTCCCGCCTTTTCTTTTAGTACAATCTTTTTTTTACAATGTTTATTTATTTGAAATTATTTGTTTGTACTGTATTTTAAAAAGATTAATGTAGCATTCATTTAGAAGAAACATGGCTGATCTAAAAAGTTTTCGTGCTGAAGTGAATAACGCTTTCAAGCTTAATGGTTTTATAATACGTCGGGAGGCGACCACATTCATCACGGAACAACTTTTTAGTTTATCAAATCAAGAGCGACAAAAAGTTTTGGAAAAATTAACTGCTCACTTATTACGCCAATGTCTTTCACAGCCGGTATTGGAGAAAGAACACATAGAAGTTGCTTATAAAGAATGCACTTCTCTAGGACTTGAAGAGACTGAAACTGTGTTGAATGTAATAGATTCATTTAGTATCCCAAAGTTGAATTATGACAATGAAAGGAAGAAGTTCGTGAAAGATACGTATAATAGTAAAAATTTGTATCCAGAACCTAAATGGAAGGCTCAATACTTAATAGATAGGTACATGATGATATGGCAAAGGACTGTACGTAACAAGTTGTTCGCGTTGGAAGCACTACCTACTATGACTGAAGAAAAGCGATTTCAGTTGCGTAAAATAGAAGTATTACTTAGTTCTTCCAGTAAGATAGATGAGGTAATAGTCTTAGGACTTTTAACTCAATTAACCGAAGGGAAATACCATTTGGAAGATCCAACGGGCAGTGTGTTATTAGATATGTCAGAGACGAGGTACCATTCAGGCTTATTTACTGAGAACAGCTTTGTTTTAGCTGAAGGTTATTATGATGATAAAGTTTTACATGTTATGGGCCTTGTGCTACCTCCATCAGAATGTAGATCTGTCTCATTACCTTATTTTGGGAATTTAAATACTTTTGGAGGTAAATCTAAGGGTTTACTGAAGAATTCTAAAAATCTATTAAAGCTGGAACAGGAAAATGAAGATGGTATGTTAATATTCCTGTCTGATGTTTGGTTGGATAATTTGAAAGTAGTTACAAATTTAAAAACCTTGTTTACTGGTTATAATGACTTCCCACCAATTGCTATTATATTTATGGGTGAATTTTTGTCATGTCCATATGGTTATGAACACAGTGTACAGTTGAAAGCTGCTTTAACAAACTTGGGAGACATCATTTACCAGTATCCAAAATTGAGGGAATCTTGTAAATTCATTTTTGTGCCTGGAAAAGGCGATCCTGCTGCAGCTAATATACTTCCAAGACCACCAATACCAAACTCTATTACGAAAGATATAAGAGAGAAATTAGGTGAATCCGTAATATTCACTACAAACCCTTGTCGTGTTCAGTACTGTACACAAGAACTGGTACTATTAAGACAGGATTTGGTTACGAAAATGTGTAGGAATTCAATACACTTTCCAGAGTCAGGAGATATACCGGACCATTTAACAAAAACTTTATTAAGTCAGTGTACATTATCGCCTCTGACATTGGGAGTGCAGCCGATTTATTGGCAGCATTCGGAGGCCTTAAATCTTTATCCAATGCCTGACTTAGTGGTTGTTGCAGATCATTTCCAACCATATACTCGATCATACCAAGACTGTCAAGTTATCAATCCAGGATCGTTTCCTCGGACAGAATTCTCATTTAAGGTTTACATACCATCATCTAAAACTGTTGAAGACTCGCAAATACCTAAAGATGATACTTAAATTTAAGATGTACAGGAAATATAGAACATTAAAATACTTTTGTTTTCAGTTTTGTTTAATTTTCGATAATACATGACTATTTACAACAATTATAACTTATAATAAAATTATTAAATAATTATTACATTTTATTATATTTAAAGAGGTTTTTAGGACAGACATATATGTTTCATTTATTTTACAAAACAATTTAGCTGTTGCTGACATAATAAGATATACCTATGTAATTCAGATAAAATTTTTGAGTATTTCACTGCATTTATCCATGTCTGTCAACCAACAAGGACTACATATATAGATATTAGAAATTAAATATTATGTACAGAAGTTTTCAAATTGACAATGTGTCTTTCAATCATACAATAAGAAAACAATAACTAGTCAGACAAAAGCTTCGGGAGTTAAGAGGTAAACATTTTATAATATCTCTGTCTACTCCATTTGGGTTGTAATAGTGAATGTATTCTTTATAATCTGTTATTTATTTTATAATGCACAAAATATAAAATAAGTCTTAAATAATTTTGCATGAAACATGTATTACTCATTTTAATTTCGTCAGTAATTAATTCATTAGAAATAAATCGAATCTAAATCATATATGTTGAAAGGCTCATCTGTAAATTGACGTACTAAGGGGAGGAGGAAGTGGGCCGAGAATATGTGGGTTTATTATTGTCACATTTCAGAATGTGTGACATCATAGGGAGAGCGAGGTCTCACAAATGTGACAAGGACGGGTAGGTTTATAAAAGTATCCTGACGAGTTCAAAGTGTACTTTAAACTCGCAGGAGTATGGAGATTATTATGGAGCGTTGGCAGCCCTACTTTTTATGTTTACTTAAAAAGAAAAATTGAAGGCTAACTTCTACCTAACGGATAGGACTTTAGTTTGAGATTAATGGTTAAGGTCCAAACATTAGGTCGTTTTAATTACAATCCAAATGGTACAAAGGATTTTTATATTCAGATAAATATGGTTTATTTGCGAGTTGTGATAAAATTACGACATTAATAAGTTTGTTAAAATTCTTAAAATAAAACTAGATATAGGTGAATACTTAATTACAATATATTTACAGATCATTATTAGATACACTTATAAATTATTATTATTATTAAGTAATACATGTGCTTATATACTACCGAGCCGGTTTGGTTTCAATGCGGTTAGAGGAGAGCTTACCGTTTTCGTTGGATAAAGTTGTAAATTTTACATACATAATTTTCTCTCTCAAATATTTGCTAGTACCATGTTATTGGTCCTGTATTCGTTATAGCAGTGTTTCTCAAAGTTAGTACTGTACAATAAAATAATTTTAGAAATTAACAACTCAAACTTTGAAAGTATTAATATGTGTACTTAATGAAATATGAATTTTATTTTAATGCAAATTGCGGCCATGTTCAAAAGAGGGGGTCCTTGAAGTTTATAGTAGGTAATGTATTCGAAAAATGTAAGATATAAATATAACCATAAAATAAACAGATTTGAATATTATTTTAACAACACTGTTGCAAACTCTGCACATTCTTGTAAATTTATTTTTGTATCAATTTTGAATGTCTCTATTTACAGGTTTAGAATTGTTATATTTGTATAAGTTTGTTCCTTTATATAGAACTTTTAATTAAGAATAAGTACACGCACCACATACAAGATTTCGCTGTGTTAAGAGTAGAAGGCGATATTATATCGTTTTGTTACTTTACTACTTCATTTTCAAGAAATAAACTCCGTCAGGCGGGTGTTAGCCTCCAGCCGCTTCATAAGTCCTTCCTTTGGTTTGGAGTGCCATCTGCCCTCTGTTGAACGGTGAAGCTGTAAAGGCCAGCTGCGGCCAACAGCATTAGACTAGTCCGAAAAGTTTAGTTCAACAATCCAACATCACTGGCTGTTTTATTTATTTAACACCAGACGACACTGTGATAGTCTAGAGTTTAGTGTTGGGTTATACAATATTTCATTGTCACTTTTGCACTGTTACTGTTCGCACCTACATTACAAGTATTTCCATTTTTCATCCGTTGTTACATTAATTTCACATATAGTAAACTATTTCTATAACCCAAAATTATAATATATAAAATTTGAGAAATCTGCTATTTAAAATATTTTCATTGCTTATATTTATTGAAAATTTTTTAAAGCGGTACTAGGCTCCCATCAACGTAGTGTAGGTCTCAGCTATAGGAGCCAAGGCCACGAGACAAATCATTGCGACGGCGAACAGGATGATGATGGGAGCGTATATCCCAAGTAGTAACTTTCTGAAGCTGGAGAACTGTGAACAAACATTCTTATTAGAAACATGGTCAAGATGGTTAGTAAAGGGACCTGGAGGTCCCATTGGCCACGTGGTTCTTTCTGCAAACTATCGTGGTTAATTGCTGGTGAACTTGCCAAGAAACTCAATTGTTCTGAGTTCAAGCTCATTTTATCATGCTCCAGTGGTTCCACGCCAGCGTACATCGTCGTAACGCAGGCGTTTGCAACGTTCAACATCCTAAATACCAAATACCTACTACAGTAGGTACATAAGGTATAACCTACGGAACAATAATAGTAACCCTAATAGATCTCAAAGCGCCATCTAGTATCAATCTAAGCAGCAAAGCTTGTGTTATGGGTACAATATTTTTGTTCTACATACAAAACATCTAAGCCAATACAAACAATCATACTCATGAATTCTATGTTTGCATCATGCGAGGAATCGAACAGGTGACGATCAGAAATAAGGCGATGTTAAACGACCACCAGCGGTTTAGCACACCGATTTACTTCCGATGATCGTGGATTCGATTCCTAAACTAAACGGTTAGACTACCGAGGCCGTCAAAAGATATTTGTATAAAGGAATTATTATTTGTATAATTACCGGCGCATCTGTACTCCTGTCGACCTGCGACGCTTGGCGGGACCCCAGCATGTCCTTCATGGGGAATGTGTTGACACGACCATTGCTAATTCGACCCTCAGATACGCACACGATCAACTGTAGAAACATGAGTAAAAATATCGTAAAATATTCATTTGTTCTTAATATATATATTTATTTGGGGTCGGCGTATATCAAGTTATTTTTTTCTAAATATCTTTTTACTATGCCCAATAAAAATTGTATTATTATTATGTTTTTCTCTTCCTTTATTGCCATATCATCATTCACACAGTGCATCCATCTCTTTTTCGGCCTGTTCAATAATAATAATTCTGGACAATTCGCACAGTGCCAAGTTGAGAATTTGTGTTGTAAGTACTAGACAACTGATATAAATAATGACATAAATTTTTATTTTAAATACATACAATATATATATATATATAGAAAACACCCAGACCAATGCTAACACTCACACTCATGATCAAATTAAATGTTTACTATCGAGTGTGAGGAATCGAACCCGCGATCATCGGAAGTAAGGTCAACAACTAGGCCACCGAGGCCTTATTTATCTGTGGTATTTAAAATAAAACTCACCGATAAAACAAAGTGCATTATGACGTGAAAGACGACGAATGCAGCGAGGATGTACACGCTCCACGGAGGTAATTCTGCTTTTTGAAGATATACCGCTAGGAATATTGTAGCGACTGAAAAAAAAAGAATTATTTATTATTTTGTACACAAAATTATATGCAAGCCTGATGGCATTTTCTATCTCACAAAACAATTCTGCTACAATAAAAAAAAAACTCCTTAAATTTTAATTATTAAACTCATTAATTCATTATTTAAACAATAATTAATTATTTAAATAAAATTATTCCAACAATCTGTGATAGTCTCTGGCATATTGGATTCAAATGTATCTGTTCCTAATTATCGACTCTCAGTCACACACTATTGTTCTCACTCGCCGTTCACAGTTTAATGCCTGCATGACGCCAGCAGTGTGTGACGGAGACGACATAATGCTTCCTTCTCTTTCACACATATAATACAATACAAATTGAAATTGTCGACGACATTTAAATAATGCCTCTGATTACTCCAAGTGATATTATACTTCAGTCAGTCGTGATATTATACTTACTTCCAAGTATATGAGCAGCGTTGCCAACGAGCCAATGCAACCAGTTGAATATTGGCCTCTTCTTTGTACCGGGGTGTGGCCTGAAGTAGGCACCTGAAATTGATATTATATATTAAGTATGTATATATAAGCATATCGTTGCAAAGTAATTATCGTACCGTATACATATATCATACCTAGAAACAAACTGTAACAATTTTTTTTGTTATGTCACAACCCTTCTAGAAACTCCCACGGTGGAGGGCCATCATCCATTGCCAACCATCCAACCATACTCATAAACTTTCGCATTTATAATAATATAAATAAAATAAATAAATAACCCTGGACAATTTATACAGCGAAAACTAGTCCCATGGTAAGTAGAGCTTGTGTTATGGATAGACAACTGATATAGACATTTTTATAATACATACATAATATACATAGAAAACACCCAGACCGATACAAACAATCGAACTCATGAATACAAATGCTTGCACCGTGCGAGGAATCGAACCCGCGACTATGGGAAGCAAGGCGGTGTGATAAACCGCCAGACCACCTAGGCGTCAAGAGTAAATTAGTAAGAAGTATGATATGACCATCTCACCAATTGGCTGTATGAAGCACAATATGACAGTAACAATGCCGGTGATAGCGTGAGGGTTGTCACCAGTGGTGGACCAGCCACCGACCTCCACCAGGATCAGTATGAACCCGCACACCGTCAGCAACCACGTCACTACCATCAATATTCTGTGGTACTGAAAAAAAAAATAGAAAATAAAATTTACCAAATTACGGGATCTTATTCTCGTGATCATGGCGGTTGAAAACTGCCGAAATATCGGAAACTCTTTAAAAATAAATAAAATATGGTAAGATCCCGTGATTTTTCCTCATCTATACATATAAATAAAATTGGACTGTCTGTTTGTAATATTGAAATAACCAATTTTTACTACATGCATATGAATATAAATGTGGTACCTACATACACCAAAATAACATTTATTACAATTTTTGTCTGTCTGTTTGTTCCGGCTAATCTCTGAAAAGGCTGGACCGATTTTGACGGCACTTTTTTTGACAGATAGCTGATGTAATAAGGAGTAACTTAGGCTACTTTTATTTTAGAAAAGTCCTATTATTTTAAAGAAATAAAGTTAAATTCCACGCGGACGAAATCGCGAGTATATCTAGTTATACATATAAATAATGAACGCGTCACATTTAAAACAGTGTACTAGTCGTAAGTCAATAAATTTATTTATATAAAGAAAGGTAATAAAACACAACTACCTAGTTATATAGAGAAAGGTTACAAAAGATATAAAGAAGAAAAGAATGATAACTACGTCTATTTAAACGTACTTAAAATAAATTTATTTGAAAAAAGTATCTTTTATTCTACTCAATTCTAAAAAGACAACTGCATGCAACTGCAATGCGAATGTTGAGATGGACGTGTGGTGTGACAAGAATGGACACGGTAAAGAATTAATTATCGTCAGTGGAGCCGTCAGGTTGTTTGTCATTATAATTACATAAATAATGATAATGATGACATAAATAAATATAATGAGTAACTTACAGCAAACCAGATGTCCTTGCCACCAAGCTGTTTTCCGACCCACACTTGTCTGAAATACCTGCACAAATAATTCGTAATGTTAACATAAGAATTTACTAATTTTTATTTAGCAAACAATAAGTAATTACAAACATAAACATATATAATATTTGTGGCAATCACTACAAATAATGCCACCACAGTAAGAACAAGCCGACCAACCCGGGACACTCGCGGGACGGCTGCGAGTGTCCCGGAGTGTTTCGCTCGTTATTTTATAAAAATGTCAACTGTACCAATAGGATTAGTAGTATGTTCCTTGCAGTTAGTTTTTCTGTTAATGGATGATAATAGAAGCACATAAGCAAGATTAAAGATAAAAGAGCAACACGCAAGTTTCTTGCTCGTTCTTCTTGTGATGAGACAGCTTTCTGAGCGGTAGATTAAAAAAATGTAATGACTATTCAAAAGTGCTTCAATGTAAGTTTATTTGAATAAATGATTTTCTATTCTATTCTATTCTAATGGAATGGTGCACCCGCCTGCGCTAACGGTTTACGCTGGCGGGGCACCCGTGGAGGATGATAAAATGAGCATGAAGTTAGGTTACTTAGCCCATCTTGGCAAATGACAATTTACCACGACGGTTTCCAGGCGGACCGCGTGGAGGTCAACCTGATATGGTACATTGCTAGCAATGGAGTTAGCCTACATTACTAATAATCCCCTTGCACTTAGTTAAGACACATAATTTGGTCAACATAAAGTTGATCGTTTGGTTCTGTGTATTTTACAAAATAAACAACTTTCAATAAGAGGGCCTTTAACTATCACCATACAAACCCTGAGATGCTCATGTCTATATCAGGCACCCATACATTACATATCGAAGTAGTAGTGATTTATAACAAAATCTTCTCCCTTTATAATATAAATACTAACCTGGCAAGAAGGATGCCCAAAGATGCAGTTCCAAGCCAAGCAGCCAACATAAAGGACCCGTGGAGCTTCAAAAGCAGTTTGGAGGCGCCTGCAGCTGATCCAACGGTGGACAAAGCTAGTGGTTCACCGGTCGACTCGTAAGCTATTGAATGGAAACCCACGCGGTCGGCATCTGGAAGAATAATAATAATAAAATAAAATAAAAATTAACCAAATAATTTTGACAATTTAAAATATAAAGAAATAATATTAATAAATTACTTGGACAGTGTGACCCGTTACTATAATTTAAGATACCGAATAATTTCGAGAATTAAAATAAGTAAATAAATAATATTAACAATAATTATGACCATAATGTGGTATATGCCATAAAGCGTAAGAAACCAGCAAAAACTGAAAATAGTGCAAAAAAAACCTGGAAAATCCACACAGCGCTGTCTAGTCCTAAGTTAAGCTGGGCTTGTGGTCTGGGTACCAGACAACTGATACAAATACTTATATATTTTTGTGAATACCTACATAATATACATAGATGTAACACCCATATCGATACAAATAATGATACTTATTAATAAAATTTTTTGTACCGTATGAGGAATCGAACCTGCGACTATCGGAAGTAAAGCGGGTAAAATATACTAAACCGTTTATCCAGACCACTGAGGCCTAGGGACAAATCTGATTTAATCACTATGACTGATTTTCTATTATTTAGTTACTCAACCAGTTGGTTGTATATTTAATATTTTGACTCGTTAGTGCTACAATGTTAAAAAGTTACCATACTTTTTTGCTCGTTCTTCTTGTGATGAAACAGCTTTTTAAATAAGCCGATTTTAATGAAAAAAGTTTTATGAATAAAGAATTTTCATATTCAACATCAATAGATTTGTTCATTACACAGAATATAGAAGTCTGAATTAAATGTGTCACAATGTTAGTTACCATACTCCTCCGAAACAGCTTAACCGATTTTAATGAAATTTTATGCATATTCAGTAGGTCTGACAATCAGCTACTATCTATTTTTCACACACCTAAGTAATAAGGGTTCTCCATTAATCTAAATCCAACATTATCTTTTAGTTTTGAAGAAATATTTTTTATATAAACATAACTTTTTACCATTCTAGTATCAATCCCATTTTTTTTTATATATAGCTAATAGAAATAGAAATATCCTTACCCTTCATACTATCTCCAGATACAACCATCAAATTATATTTGTTATTCGCAAGATCGAACGTCTGTCCCTTCACAACAGAAACTGTATCTCTTCTGAATTTACAGTACAATTTCCCATCAATGACCGAAGACTCCAACAGTTGAACTATATCTTGTGGAGAGTCTGATCTCCGCACATATGGCTCTGACTTCGGATACGTCCAGGAGGTGAACAGACTGACTCTACCATTATCATTTCTGACGCATTCCATAGCGCTGTCGTCACCCATTTTGTTGTCCATACTTAATCCTGCTGCGACGTACTTCGGCTTATCAGTACCCTGGATTTCGAAGGTGTACGCATCGCCCGCGACGAATATAGCCACAATCGCTTTGCAGTCACCTTTGGGGATACAGTTCTGAGGTACACCAAAGCATAGTTTTGTGTCTGCGCAGCCTTGGTAAATCGTATCCAGTTTTTGCGTCGCTGGTTTGGACTGGAAATAATAATTTGACAAGACTAACTTCTACTATCAATTCTTACTGTTAAGAACAGTAGATAGTAGAAGTGATTATACAAGTATAAAACATTTATACATTATAAAAGTGAAAGTTTGTTTATGTTACGGATTATGATAAATCTTTACAGTAATACAGTTTATACATCAGAATGTCAACAAGCTATAATTTTAAAAGATATTATGTAAATTGGGCGAAATATAATGTTAAATGTCAAGTAAGTGTGATGCAGACAAAGTTGCGCGAGTCAACTAGTAAGAATATAATCAAATGAATCACACAATAAATAATCATAACTTACATTATAATCCGTTCAGTAGTTTTTGCGTTAAAGAGTAACAAACATCCATACTTACAAACTTTCGCGTTTATAATATTATTAAGATGTAATTATTTTGAATGTAAAATTGTGAATATGTATTATACCTTGGACTCCAATATAACCGGTGGCTCTTGCGTGCTGGTAGCGAGTGCTACTTGGTTGGGAGGCAGTGTTGTGACCACGGTATCAGGAGTTACCACTTCCACCAGCGGCGACTCCACATTCCTCCAGAACATGGCGTACGTTTGTGCTACTGTTGCTCTGGAATTAGAAATGGATGTGGGAGTGAGTATAATAGCGTGATGGTATGTCGACGCGAGTATGAACGAAGATTCACCAGCGAGAGAGATAGAACGTGTGTGTGACAGAGTAAGTTACAGAGTAATGGTGATGAAAAGGAGACAGGCGTGTATGCGTATGTGTATATATAGGCGTTTGTATTTGTGCATGTTTATCCGTGTGTGTGAAGTGACCAGCGCGAGAGTGTAAACACGAGTGGAAACACTTCCCTTGCCATTGGCGCTGCCACTCGCGCTGTCCGGCGCTCCCTCGATTGTCGGTTTTTGTGCGCGAGTCAAAGGACTGGCAGCGCGAGTGGCAAGGGAAGCGGCTGAATACAATCGTAGCATAATGTTTCGTTGTTGTTATATTAATATCTTTCCATATATTGGTTAATGGTTGTCAATTAATGTTTTTCTTCTTCTAATACATATGTACAGAAATTCCTGGTAGATTTGTCACAATAGGCTAACTGACCTGACATCATGCTCATCTTTTCATCATCTACTGGTGCCCCGCCAGCGTAAACCGTTAGCGCAGGCGGGAGCAGCAAAAAACTAATCATTTGCTAGTAACTGAACCTAGTGTGTAGTAACATATAAATAAAAATTAATATCTACTTTCTACATTTTATTCAAATTCTTTATAGACGACTTTTAGTCCCAGGACGGACTAAAAGCCTTTGGTTATAATTATTGCCCAAGTAAATTTTACAAAACAAACTCTCCTTTCCCCCAATTCCCTGAATTAATATAAAGTTAATATTATAGATATAACTTTTTTTTTCGAACTACTCTAATGCTGTTGGGCACAGCTGGCCTTTACTGCTTCACTCAACGATAGGGTGCAAGTGCAGATGGCACTCCAAAACAAAGGAGGGACTTACGCAGCGGCTGAAGGCTAACTCCAGCCTCACGGATACGACTTTAGTCTGAGGGCATCGCTAGGGGTTCCAACCTCGGCCCAGGCTGTCGTAATTACGACCGCCATTTGAATTGGACGAGGGATTCATCGGAGGGGAAATATAGTACCTGAATTCGATTCCGCCCAAGAAGTCGGTAGGGGCTTGCCATTGGAAGGTCATGGCAGGTTTATCATCGGGTGATGAGTGCGTCACCGTATCATTGTTGCCTCTGCAGCTGATGATGTGGGTAGCCACTGGGTCTGGCACTCTGATGAACTTGCCTACTATCGTGTCTTGATTCTGAAATATTTGATAACTTTGAATTAATATTTATCATCATAATGAGATTCACCGAGATTCATTAATCACCTTAGTGACTAATGAGTTTTATGATCACTGGCATTCGACGTCTTGTACAGAATTCCATTCTATTAAAGTCTCATTTTTGTTAAAGTTTTAATGCCTAAATACATAAATATATGAAATACATAAATACATAAAATAAATACACAAATACATAAATGTATGAACCCTATACGGTGGACTTAACACTATAAGGCATATTCTTCTAGTCAACCGTGAAGCAAAATATGCAATTTTGTTTCGTCACTGCGGTTTTTACAAAGTCAAATGACTTAAATGATGTACCTCGTTCAGTAATTTTAATTAACCTCAATCAAACAAAACAAACTTCCTCAATAATTAATTAATTAACACGTTATGTACGGGGAAAATAAATATCCCGTTAGATAACCGGGTCATCAAAGATTTATTTTCCCCATTGTTGAAACAGTTATCTTTGGGTAACTAATTAAATATATATTATTTTTACTATTACAGTGAAACCTGATTAAGTGGGACCTGGATAAGTGAGAAACCTCTATTATTGAGAGTTGCAATGAAGTCTTGGACTTTTTCATTGAATTACTTCTGTTAATGGAAGATTTTTTATAATAATAATATTGATAAGTGAGATAAATTATTCAGATTAGGGCAGGTTATCAACATTTGCACCTTTCAAAATGGAATAACGGTACATTTCGACCTCTATTAAGCGGGGCCTCTGTAAATGAGACAATTATAATTTTAAACCTGCTTTTACGGAAGGAAGGATGGACTGTATTAAGGCTGGTTAAAAATGAGACACGTTCTTATAAAATACTTGTAATCAGCTCGCTAGCAAAAATATAAAGACAATGGCATAAGAAAACAAACGGTATATAAAAACAGAACGTCAAAATATAAAATTCAAATATATATAAAAAACATAAAAACTATCAAAAAGGATTAATGGAAAACTGGATTAATGGAAAGACTTAATAATTGATATATGGTCTGTTGAGATCCCAGTTAACCAGGTTTCACTCTATCTTTCTTACTAGCTGTGCCCGCGACTCGTCCATGTGTTATAGTGACCTTTACCAAATATAGAAATATATTTAATACTCTAATCCAAAAAAAGCCAAAGAAAATTGTGTCATCGTTCTAGATTATAACATGACGAATTACCATACAAACTTTCATCTCATTCAGAAACTTTTTAGAAACTTCGCATATCATATTTATTTATATTAAATAAACAGTCTAAAAAACGCTAACTAGCGTTCTCATGTATACATTTATATAAATTTTCCTGATCAAAGGTATATTGCAACCTGTCTCTAAGTAGAATGAAATTCCTGTAATTACGTGCAATTAGCTGAAATGTCAATTGTTTACATTTTTTTTGACTTCCGAGTATATTACATAGGTTTGTATGTTTGGTCACGCTCTGATTTTATCAGAGAATTATGAAAATATGTTCATTAATTTTCATTTCACACGAAGGTTGTTTGTGGTTTTCTATTATTGTATCCATAATTTACCGTTCTAAAGATTGAAAAAAATATTAATCGTAATAAAGATTATTATTGTTCATAATTATGGTATCATAATTATTTCATATTATATTACTCATAACCCATTTTGCTAGTTATTGCAAAATGAAAATTTGTATGCATCCTTTTCGACTAAAACAATCTATTTACCTATTATATTACTTGATATAGTTATATATAGATTACTAGGTGATACCCACGATTTAGTTCTCGTGGATTTTTTTATTATTAAAATAAATACTTTTTCTAAAATTAAAAGTCGGTTAAGTATCTCCTTGTTGACTTGACGAATATTTCGTCTCGTCAAAGTCTGTCTATCCATTTCAGAGATTTGAAGAACTCACAAGAACATATAGATAGAAATATATTTTTAATTGTTTTTCTGACGGAAGTACCTTATATATTATACAGAAAGAAGAAAGAAAGAAAGATACATTGATATACATTTAGTAAAAAGCTATTAATTTTAAAATTACAAAGCGACACTTCAATTTAATTTGTATAGATCAGTGAGTAGCACTTGAAATTATACATTGTAGAAAAAAAAACAATAGAATCTAGTATAATACAACCTGTCCTACCTGTATTTGTCTGGCTTGTAAGATAAACCCTCCAATAGGCAGTGGAGCGCCGGCTGGGCTCCCAATAGTCACATTCAGGGTGTCTCCCTGCCGGACCTGGGAGGCTGATGTGAGGATCAGGTATGGTGGAACTGTCGACTGTGGCTCGATGGTTGAATGACGTGGTAACTGGTCGATACACGCCTGAAATAGAAAATAGGTGCATGTTATTAATATAGGAGATTTATTTCCTTAAATAAGACGCAGCGTGGGAAGGCCTCCAGCAAGGTGGACCGACGATCTGGTCAAGATCGCTGGAAGGCATTGGATGCGAGCAGCGCAGGACCGATCGTCGTGGAGATCTTTGGGGGAGGCCTATGTCCAACAGTGGACGTCTTCCGGGCTGCGATGATGATGATGATGATGATGATGATTTCCTTCATTTTTTTACGTTGCAATTTCATTATCAGATTATTAGGTATGTATTATCCTCGTCACCCCTTGGGCTAGGATACGGTCTTATGAAGAGTTTCCACATAATTAACAAAAGACGGGTGCGGTAGTTATGCCAACGTGACCTCGCGACTCTGGAAATCTAGCTCCTAGGTACACTGTATGATTCTTAAGTTAGTAAGAAACCTACACACCTCCTAGTCACCCCTCCGGCTAGGATACGGTCTTTTGAATATTTTTCCACGCAATTAACAAAAGACGGGTGCGGTAGTTATGCCAACGCGACGACCTCGCGACTCTGGCAACCCCACTCGTAGGTACACTGTGTGGTTTTTAGTGGGTAATATGCCCACACACTCCCTTATTACCGCTCCAGTAGGAAGACGGTCTTTTGAAATTTTTTTCACACGTTAAAAAAGGCACTATTCCATATTAAACCATTAAAAAAAGGTGTAACTCACCGCTGGAGGAGCACCGGAGCCATGTTGCTGTGATGACTGTATCAAGTAGAGTATTGTGAACAATATTGTACTTCTTTTCCTTGGCAGCATTTTTCTGTCACCTGAAAAATAAAAGAAATATATATTGCTATGTATAAAGGAGAGTAAGTTCAGATATGATGGCTGATAGGTATCAGTGGAAGAGGATATACTGAGCCGACTCCAAATAATGGGATAAAGGCAAGGCAATAATGATGATATTCTTATGTGTATATTATATTAGTATATTGATGGCTTCGGTGGTCTAGCGGTTTAGCACATCGCCTTATTAACGATGGTCGCGGATTCGATTCGACGCGCGGCATATACATTTATATTCATGACTATGATTGTTTCTATCCGCCTGGGTGGTTTCTATGTATATTATGTATGTATTTACAAATGGATTTTTGTATTTATATCAATTGTCTAATACCCACAACACAAACTCCTTTACTTAGGATTACATAGCACTCTGAGTTGTTCTAAGATATTATTATTATCTTTTGTTACTAGAAGATTTTGTACATATACGTTTGTCACCGCGGATAACTCAGTATTTTTATACTATACTGGTGATAATCCAGCGTACGGCCTACCTGATAGTAGACGGTTATTGTAGTCTACAGACGTATACAATATCCTGTTTGTCACGTGTGCGTTGCCGACCTTTAACCTAAACCTGCTGTAATGTGTAGAGAAAACTTCGGCAGGTTGTTCATTGCAGAAACAAACTCTTACACTTATAAATACCATAGTATGATCGAATTTATATAATCATATACAAAAAAAAACTTTGTATCTATATTTAAGTGACTCGGATGATGGATTTGCTTAAAAAAAGTTTCTCATTTGCCTCATCAACAGCATAAAAAATATAATTTCAAATACGCGATTGAATATTGAGTGAGTGCGTAATGCAATATTATTGTATTCCGATGCCTCAACAATCGCACCTAAATTAACTTTTTTAAATCGATCGTTCAGTTTTCATTTTAACGTAACTTAGCAACTCGTTAGTAACAAAAACGGCAGTAAACCTGGCACGGCGTCTGCGCACCGACCGTGACAACTGGTCACGTAAAAGGAAAAAAATTACAAAACATTGTTGGACACGCACTTATAACGACAGGGTTCCATAATATTCTTTATTACGACTATATCAGGATTGATGTATTTTCAACATTTATCAATGTCTTAAAAACGACAAAGTCGTACAATATAATTTTAACTATTACAGCATGGGACGAAGAGGATTGTTAATAATGTGAACTAATAACCCCATTGCAGCTTGACCTCCATTAATGTACCATGTCAGTTTGACCTCCACTCCACGCGGTTCCCCCAGAAAACCATTATTGTAAATTCTTAGCGAATTTACCACGATGGGCTAACTTGCTCATCTTATCATCCTCCACTGGTGCCCCGCCAGCGAAAACCGATAGCGCAGGCGTGTGTACCATTTCATTATCATAAAAAAAACTATTACAGTGTTTTATCTAAATTATCTTTCTTTCAAATAAAAAACCTACTAGTTAGAAAGGAACAAAAGAGTATCAGTAACAACATAAAATAGCGAAATTAAATATTATTATGTAAGATGTTTGCTTTCGTTTTATAATAGAAATAGATTAAATAGAGTCTTGAATGTAAGCAATTCAAATGAACGAAATTTTAAGCTCCTTTCAATATGTTTTTTTTTTATTCTTCCGCCATATTTAGAAAGCAGGTTTAATAAATAAGATGTGCAAGAATCTTGGTGTTCTTTTAAACAAAAGTTGTAAGTAAAACTTAATTTTTAATTTATTTTGTTAATTTTATGTCCTACTAACTTATTATAATAATATTATAGGTATTAATTAGGATGACGAAATCGACAGAACCAAATATACTTAGTTATTACGGTCATAAACTGTTGAAAAATGTCAACCAGGAAAATTTCATGTTTAAATTAAAAAATATGTCTGTCGGGTTTTTGTTATTGGATCATGGTCTTTTGTTTTTTATTTCAACAATTGATTTCGTTACTTCTACGCGTTTTTTTATAGCATAGTGGTCAAACAAACTTGCGGATTAATGTGGTGGTGCACCAATGAGCACCCAGTATGAGTGACAGTAAGTTGTCGCACACTATGCTGTTTGTGGGCCATGTTTCCAATTAATAATAAAGAAGAATAATTTTGTATAGTTTTATTGTTATTTTATAAATTTACTATTTATTAATTTATTTTGTAATTTATATAATTTTAATGCATATTCATTATAGATAATTATTATAGACTTAACACATTGTGGCATTTTTAACCATGGCTTGAAGTCATCAGAGAAATGTTGGTGGCGGCATATACTACGTATATATATATGTATATACAACTATACATAAATACAAATAAAAGCATACCACACATAAAGACATCTGGCAATAAAAACAATCTTTAACATTATAGAAAAATGAAGATACTAATGGATAAAGAGGAAATATATATATAAGATAATATATGTACACAAAGTTAGAAGTTTAAAATAAAAATTCCTGCAGTTTAAGTTGGAAAGAAAATCTACTCGTGGTCTTGATTTCAAGAGGTAAGTCGTTCCAAAGTGTAAGAGCGTGAACGGCGAAAGAATAGACGACGGTTACCGTTTACCATCTGCTTGTTTGTCATTCCAAGTAAATAAAAAAAACATTGTACACTAAGTCAGTAAGCGATTGAGTCATAGACTCCATAACAGAATTCCCTTCACTCCGCATGACCTCACTTCCTACATGAGACGACATAAATTATGTCCGTCTGTCCTTTTTCCTCGTAAGCGTTTGTTTATCTGTTTCATATCTTTGCATCAAAGCAAGCGAGGTTAGCGTGGATCTGATATGCGGGATTCGCGTCACGGGATCCGATTTTCTCGTTATCTTTCTGTTTTCCTTGTTCAGAAATTCATTAAGCGACTAATAGTAATTAAAAAAAATCATATATTTACACATTTATTTAAATAAACATACCATAAAAGAATAGACAGAGGAACTTAGCATTATCGAGATTTACGGTGCAGGTGCCGGGTCCATCGTGTAGCATAGAGGAAATCTCCGAACAATTCCTGGTACTTGTGACCAATTATAATTATAGTTTACTAGCTGTGCCCGCAGTTCCACTCGCATAAAATTTGTAGCCTGTGTTATTCTGATGTATTGTATAGGCTCAGCTATAACACTGTAAAGTTTCAACAAAATCTGTTCTATAGTTTTTGCGTGAAAGAGTAATAAACATCCAACCATCCATCCTCACAAATTTTCCCGTATTTAATATAAGTAAGATTCAAGCATAATAATAGACAGATTGTATATTATTTAAAAAGTTTAACTGTCGACAACAAAAATTTAAAACCGTTTAATATTGTTTTCATTAGATAAACAACTGTGTTGTGTTTAACTAATTAGTTAATTATGTCATTCATTAGAAAAGTGCATTACACTAGTCAGCATACGTTGACTTCTGTTTGCTTTCCATATATTAAAAAAAGTTTCTTTGAGTTCTCCTCAGATGATTGATTAACTTTTGTGGCAGAGAAAAAAATATGTTCTTATAAAACATAGATTGTCTAAGATTTTCTTAGATTTACGTGCCTGATTTGAGACTTTAATTTTCTAGTATAAATTATACTATGTACACACTTAAATAGAACAATTTAGATGTTATATATATAGTTTTTATTTTATACAAGATAAACTGCTTTCGCGCAGATGGATGACTTTGACGTGAATTGACGTGACTCCGACGTCTTTGAAAATGCCTGGAAATCATTGAAGTGCGATGAAGGTTAACTTTAAGATTAGATAAACAAATGGTATTTGTTCAGAAGTATCACATTTTAAGACTAGTAACTACCTTTATATAATTGAAGTGTTTAACTTTACAAATTGCAAGTAACTACTTGCTAATGGGCGGAAGCCGGAAATAAACGTTAACTCAAACGAAATGAAATAATGAAAGAACGGTAGTTTTGTCATGTCGAGTTGACTCAAGGGTGATTAATATTTGTTTAAAGTTTTCCTTTAAAGTGTAAATTCTGTTAACTGTCCAGGCATTGCGTTTCTAATAAGTGGTAGAACAAAAATATATGACTATTCAAAAGTGCTTATATAAAGTTTATTTGAATAAAGATTATTTATATTCTAATAAAAAAAAGGGTATCTTTATTGCCAAGTAGTATTTACGTTTAAATACGACTATAACAAAGTGTTATAGTGTGTAATTAACAGAGTTTGAACTAGTCCCAAGCTAAGCAAAGCTTTTGTTATGGGTACTAGACCACTGACAGAAACACTTAAATGTTTTTTTTAAAAACAATAGAAAACACCCAGACTAATAAAAACAATCTCATCTTCCTACTCTGAAATACAAATGTTTGTATCGTACAAGGAATCGAACCCGCGACGGCCGTAGGCTCTTTTGGCTTAGCTTGGGACTAAATAGGGTTGTTAAAATTATTCAGTGTTTTTAATCTAAATATATAACTCAAAGGTGACTGACGTAGTGATCTATCAACGCACAGCCCAAACCACTGGACGGATCGGGCTGAAATATAGTATGCAGGTAGATGTTATAACGTAGGCATCCGCTAAGAAAGGATTTTGATTAATTCTATCCCCAAGGGGATAAAATAGGAGATGACAGTTTGTATGAAAATTTATCAATTTTAAACCGATCGGGCTGAGACTTTGCATGCATAAAGCTACTATGACGTAGGCATCCCCTGAAAAAGGATTTTGACAAATTCCACCCCTAAGGGGATAAATAAACGCGAGCGAAGCCGCGGACAAAAGCTTGTATTATTATAAGCCTTATTATTCAATAAAATGATGTTTGTAGGTCTCTTAAGGTCCACACATAACCATTTCTAATCTATCGAGGTCACCTGAATTGAAGAAACATTACTTCTTTAATACCTGTTTAAATTAATAAAGGACTTTATTTGGGTCGTTGAAATGTAGGACTGAAAAGACGCCCTTCTTACGACCGGACTATTGTTAGAAATTCCTCACCATGAAGAATTCATTTGAATAATCGATATTCATGTGGTTGAACTT